CACACACTCCTTCCTTTCTACATCCCGGTACTCTCTCTCTCTCTCTCTCTCTCTCTCTCTCTCTCTCTCTCTCACACACACACACACACACACACACACACGCACACCCACACCCACACCCACACACCCACACACATTGCTCCCCGCTGTCCTCAAACATTTGGAATTACTAGGCGACGTTATAGGTTCTCCATCGGTCGGTTGTGGACAAATGAATGACATTTCATTTTCAGCTAAGAGCCTAGTGAGAGGCACCTGAACTACCGGATGTAAAGACAGCACAAATCGGATATATGATCAAGCCGCATTTTGCTTGTGGCTTGTAGTTTCGCCACGATCTTTCTTGCCTTTTCCGTTCACAGTAGAAGAGTTTTTCAACCAGTGCAGTGTCTTTTCGTCCTGCATCCGGACAAGGAAAGCGTGCGAACATGAGTTACAAGGCAGTCGGGACTGTCAGGCCGAACTGTCATCGGTGTCATCATGTCAACTTGGTCTTCAGCAAGCCTTGGTCAAACACCAAGATCTCCATGGCATTGATCGGACTTTGGGTGTTTTTCATCTCGGTGGTTATGCTTTTTTTCGTCAAAGACCGATGGGTACAGACATTAGGGATACTAGAGCGCGAGGAACTGCTTCTAGTACATGGTCCTCGTGAGAACATCATCAAATTGAAGGAGTCCGACGACTTGCACGGTTCAACACCAGTCAATTCCACAGAGATTGATCAGAACAAGACTGTCGCAACGGATCACAACAAACAACAGCAACTGGCTACGGGCCATGTGAGAGCGCTGGAGGGGGGCAGCGATCGAGCCAGTGGCACCGGGGATGGTGAGAAGAAGGCATACGATGTGTTCGATCCATTTTCCTGCCGTAGCAGGAAAGAAATCGCTCAGTACTTGCGTCACGGGACCAACCTGACATTGCATTTCGAGCTTGAGGAGTTCTTGAAGAAGTACGAGGATTACCACAGATCATGCAGCGTCGGCGTTGACTTGATGGCGCATTTCAACGAGTTAATTGCAGGAGGGAACCGCTCTAAGTCAGACAACCATGGAAAGTTGGCCGACTGCAAGTACGTTGTATGGATCTGTCCGTGGGAGGGACTCGGGAATCGGTTTGCGTCTCTTGCGTCGACCTTCCTCTACTCCATTCTGACCTGGCGAGTGATTCTCGTCGAGAGGAGGGGCAATGTGGGCGATTTGATATGCGAACCCTTTGCAAATCATTCCTGGATGGCCCCTGAGGGCCTCAATGGGTGGTCTTTCAATGATGCACCTGATCTTCCCACTGTTATAAATGCAAGTATCCCTGTATTCGGTCTTTCCGAGAAGCCTCAAGAGAAGGAAAACAATTCGGACGCCAGTGTGGGATCACAGAAGAGTCCTGAAAGTGCCGCTGTAAGCTCGGAAGCACCTGCGGAGTCCACAGGTCCCCCTGGCAGAGCTCTCATCCGCTGGCCGCCGCCTACGGTATCAATCAGGATCTTTCACGTTGCCGACACGCGTGCGGATAATATGCCTTTCTTCTGCCCCCAGGAGCAGGAGATTCTGTCCGAGGTTAAGTGGGTTTCAATTTACAGCAACCAGTACTTTGCGCCTGCATTGTTTCTGCTTCCGCAGTTCAAGGGCCGGCTCAACCGATGGTTTCCCGATGGTATCGTCTACACCCGCTTAGCGCGCCACCTGTTCCTGCCAAACAACGTGGTCTGGGAGAGGATCACCAGGATCCACAAGATTTATCTTTCTACGACGGATCGACTTGTTGGTGTGCAAGTACGTGACATGAGCGACGACCCCACTAACAGACTAGCGGGGGTGCTCGATTGCCTCATCAACGGGGGAGTGCTGCCGCAACCGGGCGTCTCTGCACTGGTCACGACCAAGGGAGTGGTGGTGCAGCTCCCGGATTCAACCCAGCAGGCCTCACAAGCAGCGGTAGCATCAACGACGAACGCAACTGTACATTCAAAGAGGAAGAAAAGGGATCACAAGGGTCAGCCAGGGATTGTGCTGTTTGAGGCAGGGGAGAGGGGAGAGAGAGAGCCCATGAGCATGAACGGCAGCAGCAGCAGCAATCACAGTAGCACGGAGCAGTACGAGCCGAGGAGTAAAGGTGACGTTACGGTCTTCTTCGCCTCCTTGCGCGACATGTACTACAAGACAGTAAAAAGCATATATGGGTCTAGACCTACGATGACCGGCGAGAGGGTCATCGTTCACCAGGAGATCATGGAATCAGAGCAAAAGTCGTTTAGACGAGAACACGAGGAAGGTGCGTTCGTCGATGTATGGCTTCTTGGCTTTAGCGACGAATTAATCACCACCCCCGGCTCGACGTTTGGCTACATAGCGCAAGCGATTGCAGGGTTGGAGACACCTCGGCGGCTAAACTATTATTGGGAACCGAAAGAGATAGATGCGGCCACTAAAAGAGAGAGATCCTGCGTCACTTGGCAGAGTAGAGAAGGATGTTATCATAAGCCACCATGGAACAACGATAAATGGAAGTGTAGGAATGGGGGACATGTTTACGTGAAGAACCAATTGTACGGCAAGAAAAATGAGTCGCGCTTTGCCACCTGTGAAGATTTCACAGTAGGTATTCAATTGATTACAAAGTAGATTTCACAGCAACACAGATTAAGGGGTCCCTCTGAACCCCTCTCCTCCCCTTGCCCTCCCTGCGATAATCTCTAGGGACCCTCAAATGCTACTCATCCTTCTAGAAACCCCCTTGATGCAATACCTTCCCTCCCCCCCTCCCCCCCTCCTCCTCCTCCTCCTCCTCCTCAGGTTTCCATTTAAGTCTCCTTTCAAGATTACTTGGGATGAGAGAGAGAGATGTGGGCAGACTCAAGATTACAAACGACTCGCAGAGAACGGGGAGATGGCGAAACCGGGCTCTGGGACAGATGTCCATCAACGGCCGATGGAGACTGAGAGACCGGGCACACTGAGAAGGACATGTGGACCACATGAAGGTTTTGTCTGACAAGAACCTCTGACATGGATTGGCTAGGCTATGTACCGATCAGAACAACATACAGAAAGAGGCTCCTCGTCGATGATGCATCAGAAGGCGTATGGAGGAGGCGGCTCATATTCTAACGACTGAAATAAATTTGGAAGGGACGACATTGGAGAAGGCCTGGACCCCGCAGCTTTGCGGATGGCAACGAGTCAACGACGCTTGCCCAGAAAAAAGTGGGGAAACTTGAGCTGGAAACTCGGGAAGTGTTTTCGTTAGGACCCCACCGCGCAGGTGGTTTTGCGGCAAAGTGAGGCGTCTTCTTTCCGGAATAGGAAAGACGGAAACCGGCCGGTGGTCCTGAAAAGGAAAGTTTTAGCTTGTCTGTTTTGTGAAGGATGGACCTTCGCAATGACGAACCTCCGTCAGTGGGTGACATCGGGTGGCGCGTGTGGGACCCTGTGTGGCATAAAATCTCGGACTGCCTACGCAGGCCAAACGGCGGGCGAAAACAGAGGGCCCGACAACCGTTGGGACAATGCTGTAAAGCTGTCCACCTATTTGCAGGGCCTCGCTCCATCAACCTCAGGCACCGTGCGAGCTGATTCAGGGGACAGGCGTATGCCGTGGAGTTGAGGTGTCACCATCTCCAACTTCCCTTATCCGTCGCGTGGTGTGCGCCATCACCATCGCCAGGTTTGCGCACTGTGTGCAGTTTTCTGGATTGCTGGGGTTCGTGGTGTTATCACATGGACTATTGGGATGAATCCACATTCCGCATGGTATTCATCCTCCTGCAATGGATGAACCACAGTGACGTCGTGGCGTTGGTCCTCCAGGGCCCAGGTCGCAGCCGCTGTGTGTGCCAGGCATGTCCGATGCGTTGTTTCTTTCGACCGACCCTGTGCTCCACAGCATGCCCATGACATCCATGGCTGCCAGTGTTTCACCAGTCAAATGGATTGTAGCCGACGGATCTGAGGACTCAAACGCAGCAGTGGAGTGTGGGAGGACCTGCAAAGGGTGGGCGGGCGACACGAGAAGGTTTTCCAACGTTTCTGCAGACTTCCTCGCCCACTGTTCAACCACATCCTCGCTTCAATCGCTCCTCATATCCAATGGCAAGCAACGAATTGGAGACAGCCCGTGCCGGGGGTGCAGAAGTTCGCTTGTGCACTCATCAGGTGGGCAACTGGCGGATTCTACACCCAGTCTCCACACGGTTTGGGTCTCGGTCTAGCTAGCGCACCGAGAAGCAACGCGGACGTAGCGGACGCCATCATCCACGAGGACGGGCATTTGCTGAACTTTCCGCCAGCGACGAAGCTGGAGGAGAGTCAGGAGACACTAGATGGTTTTAAAAGGAAAAACTTCCCTGCATGCGTGGGGCCCATAGACTGCACCCACATCTACATGGAGGGGAGAGTGATACTACTCCTGGACAGGACAGTTTTCAATCGTCACCCAGGTGGTTTGCGATCACGAGTGTCCGATCGTTAGTGTCTACCTGGGTTGGCCGGGGTCTATCCACGACACTCGTGTGCTTTGAGTATCACCACTCTACCATGAGGCCCGACGAGAAACAGGGGTGTTCGCCAGTGGAGGACAGGTGCTGCGTGATGGTCGATCTATCAGGAGTTATCTACTTGCGCACGCGGAGTACCCCCAACTGCATTGGCTGATGCCACCCATAGGGGGGACGTCGAGGACGGCTGCTGAGCAGGTGTATGATGACTGTCATACATAGCCAAGACCCTGCATTGAGGGCACTTTCGAGAGGCTGAAGGCTGTGTGGAGGAATCTCATCAGATCGAAGATCAGAAAAATGAAGGCATTTCGCGAAGTGTTCGTGGCAATCTGTGTGTTGCACAACATCATGGTCGACGCAAATGTGAAGGTTGATCCCGACAATTTGTCGGATGGGAATGACGACGACAGTGAATAGGAAGAGAGGAGGCCTCGCCATAGGCGTCGTTTGTAAGACAGGCAGCCTGGTCCTTGCGCACCTCCGCCGGAGGAGGACGCAGCATTCACTATGAAATGGGGAAGGGGCTGAGGGAGAGCCTGATCGCGCATGTCGGACATCATGCTCGTGTCCACGACTCCACGATGCTCCACGTCTGAGCCCATGGCCAGCATGATGGTCCTTTCTGTTGCTGTGGGAGGGTTGAAAATTCATGGGGGTGGGTGATATTTATGGGGATACGTCAAGCATTTTGTTGCTCCTTGCATCTCTCTCTCTCTCTCTCTCTCTCTCTCTCTCTCTCTCTCTCTCTCTCTCTCTCTCTGTGTGTGTGTGTGTGTGAATTTGATATGTGTGTGTATGTGTGTTTCATTTGAAGACAATTAGGGAAAGAAGGGACATTCCATATGAGCACTCATGAGCACATAAAGCATTGTTTCGAGCATCCCAAACCCAAAAGGTTCCCAATAAAAAGGAAATCTAAAATAAAAACTGAAAATAGAAAGACATGATTCCTCCCCCAATATCAAATGTGCACAATTCTCCATAGCCAGCGCACGACGCATCGCTGACGAAGAAGGCTGACATGGCAATGTCAAGTCGGGAGTCGCAGCGTGTACAGCAGCGGTGCACGGCCGGGCTGTGAGTACGAACGAAGACATGCTGGGCGTATTTGACGTCCATGTCGTGTCCACGTTGTCAAGTGGACGTGGACGCCAAATACGGCCAGCATGTCTTCGTTCGTACTCACAGCGCGGCCGCATACCGCCACTGTGCACCCTGCCACTCCCCGGGGAAGGACAGACATGTCGAAGCGATGTGCAGTCAGCGAAGGGTTAAGAAAGTACCAAAAATGATTTAGGCTCTTCCTATGCTACCAGAAACTGGGTGTCCTTGAGCCAGGGCCAGGGACTCTGTGATAAGAATTGGTAACTTAAGAGGGTTGGACTTCAAACAAGCTTCCCCATTCCAACCAGGACCTCGAACCAGGCATTTTTCATTCAGTTAGATAGCAGCCTCGAACTGGTGACACGTTGTTTGAAGGATAAGCCGCAGTGGGCCCTGGTTGGAACGAGGGCCCGAACGGGACCGGCTAGAAAGAACTGGGTACTGTTGCATTTCTAGGTACCAGCACAGTTGGACGGACCGATTAGGGAAGTACATGATGCCTCGACGTCTCCAAAAAGATGTTTAGCGGTCGACATCCGGTTGTGGGTTAGTGGAAGTTGTTGACTGCTAAACATCTGTTCGAAATACCCTCACATTTTGGTTATCCTCCTCCTCCTCCTCCTCCTCCTCATCGTCATCATCATCATCATTTTTATTATGACAGTGCAGGGGAGAGATCCATGTCGCAGATCTTGTCGTGGCTCTGTGAATGAGTGATGTCAGGGCAATGGCTGGCCCTGACTGGTTTCACCCGCCACCACGACACGGTCATCGTGAGGGGGATTCCACCTCACATCTCCCTCGTCCATACCCCGCAGGATGACCCGCGTGGTGGTGGTCCACAACTTGACGAGGGAGATGTGAGGCGGAATCCCCCTCATGATGACCGCGTCACGGTGGTGGTGGTGGCGGCGGTCGAAACCAGTCAGGGTAACCATTACCCGCCGGCTGGCGCACAGCAAAGTGTTTTGAATACATTCAGTTGTGCTGAGTATTTAGCGCAAGTTGTTGTGTCCTTTGAATCCTTTCTTTTTTCTTTTTTCTTTTTGTCCTTTGAATACTTTTCACATGAACTGATATTAAACTGATCAGAACAGATGTTTCTTATTAAAGCGTGAGGCCCGACGAGAAACAGGGGTGTTCACCAGTGGAGGACAGGTGCTGCTGAATGGTGGAGGACGTGTCTGCTCTTATCCGTCGTCGATGTTTCTTATTAAACCACCAGTACCTAGCGGTTGTTCACGCCCGTGGCTCAGCCTACCCGTATCCCGAACCTTGCCGAGCCTCGAGCTACCGGTAGGTACACATCGGGAAAGAAAAACAGACAAAAAAATTTTTTTTGACAGTTCTTCTGCGAAAAAAAGAAGAAGAAACTGAAAAACAAAGATGGCCGTTTTGCACTTTCCATCTTTGGGTTGCCTGGAGAGAGAGAGAGGGGGGGACGGAAAGAGAGAGAGAGAGACTCTCTCTCTCTCTCTCTCTCTTTCTCTCTCTCTGTGCTTCGTGCACCAGTGATTTGCAAAACATAAATGTATCTTTCCGCAAACGCGGGAAGATTCATTCCCGTTTTGCAAATTTCAACTGAGAGAGAGAGAGAGAGAGAAAGATGCACGGTGAGCTGCGCGGAGTGCGCCGTGGCTCTCTCTCTCTCTCTCTCTCTCTCTCTCTCTCTCTCTCTCTCTCTCTCTCTCTCTCTCTCTCTCTCTCTCTCTCCTTCCTTTCTTTCTTTCTTCCCCCCCACCTCCCTGCCGCGCCCATTTTTCCCATTGGTTTTCTTTTTTCCTTTTTAATTTGCACATCGACTGATTTTTTTTTTCTTTTCTGCTTTCCTTCTTTTTTTCTTATTTTCTTTTTTTTCTTTTTTTTCTTTTTTTTCTTTTTTTTTTCTTTCGTACAGGGTACAGGTCGTTCACTGCGCGGACCTCCATCCGACGCAGCGTGTTAACGGCCGCGTCCGAGAAAAATAGCTGGGCGTGGTACTGGCAGTTTGGTGGTATAAACCACCACTACCTCCGAACCTTTTTTTGCTGACCCTGATTTCACTGCACACCGAGTTCGGCCGAGCCGGGGCAGTTTCATCGACAAAAGAACAAGTGGACGAAAAAAGAAAAAGAAAAAGAAAAAAGGAGGACTTCCTAACGCCTTGATAACCACCAGACAATGTGTGACTGCGGCCCGGCTGGTAGTATTAAGCCACTAGTACCTTTGCCGTTTCGTTTTTGCACGGCCGGGTTTTAGCCTATTTCCAAACTTATAAGAAGGCCGGGCCCGCCCGACAACGGCTGCCGCTGATAAATCTGATCAGCGGCCGTCGTTTCGTTTCATTTCGTTTCGGCCTCCTGAAAGGTCGGAGGCCCGCTATTTTCCGAACCGACAAAGGTACCAGTAGTTTAAAAGGGAGCCGAAAAAAAGAGAAAAGAAAAGAAAAGAAAAGATACAAAGAGAGAACAGTGGAGGACTTCACCCTCCACCAACGCTGACGGAGAATGTATCAACGTGAAAACATGATACTCTCACCGATGGGACCCCAACTGGGCCCAGCTCAATATAAATCTTCCATCTTGTTGTTGTCATCTCATCAGCTATATACCCTATTTACTATCCACATAAAAAATGAAGTAAGACGTCTTCAACTGGCATTTGCCACTCTCCCAAAACTGGATTAAATCAAAAAGAAGAAAAAAGTTCAAAAAAGAAGAGAAAGAAAAAAGAAGACGGAGAAGAAAGAAGACGAAGAAGAAAAAAGAAAAAAAACATAAAGAAGAAGAAGAAGAAAAAGAAGAAGAAAAGGCAGTTTATGTGCATGCACCTGGATGCAAGTTAACCTACACAACTCTATCAAAGAACCTCACACACTGAGTCCTGAATTGCCCGCCACCGCACTCAATATCCCGCCCCACCCCAAAGTCAATATCCTCACCCCGCCGCAAACTCCTTGCTTGATCGACTCTGCCATCGCAAACACTGCCGCCGCACTTCCTTGAAAAAAAAAAAAAACTCAAACCCACAGAGTTCTTAAACCTGTGGCAGACTGACTGGTGAAAAGTCATGAGAAGTCCCTGAAGAGAATAAAGCAGCTGCTGAGCAACTCCCTGGGTCCTGAGTCTTTTCAGTCTTTTCAGTCTTTCGAGTCTTTTCAGTCTTTTGAGTCTTTTGAGTCCTCAGCATTGACTACGTACGATGTCCCTCAGAACTCCGGTCTCAGTCCTGATCTTCTCATCTCTGAGTTCCGTGACCCGCGTACCGAGTGCTGGGGTTGGAGACCTGAGCTTTCAAGTCCTGACGTCTGACGTCTGACGCCTGTGTTCTCAGGATTTCCCTGAGAGTTCAACTCTCGGACTTTTCCTTCCTTCTTGGGTGCGAGTCTTCGATCCACCGAGTCAAAAATTTTGAGACCTGAGCTTTGACTTCTGACGTCTGACGCCTGAGTTCGCAGGATTTCCCTGAGAACTCAGCTCTCACCGCCTCTCGGGCTTTTCCTTCTTGGGGCTGAGTCTGTCTTTGATTCACTGACTGAGTCCAAACTTCTGAGACCTGCCTTTTGAGTCCAGATGTTGAAGACCTGAGTTCTCAGGGATTCCTCTGAGAACTTTAAGGTCTCAGACAGTCAGACTAGCCCGTCTTGGGCCTGAACCTTTCTTTGTCCTCGAGTTTCCCTTAGTCCCTGAGTCCCTGAGTCCCCGGGTCCCAAAGCCTAAGATCTGCTTGGGTCTCTTTTTTTTACTTCTTTTTGGGTCAGACTATACCTTTCTTGGGTCTCAGCCGTTGCACACGAGTATTCGACTCCCTGAGTCCAACCACCTGAGGCCTGCGTCCTGATGTCTGAAACCTGAGTTTTCTCAGGATTTGCCAGAGAATGCAGCTCTTGTCTACTAGACTTCACCTTCTCACCTTCTCACCTTCTCAAGTCTGAGTCCCTGAGACCTGACTCTTTCACCTCCTCAGTCCTCTCCTCCCCTAGTTCTCAGAATATCACCAAGTCCCGATTTCCGAGAGTTTCCCTGAAAAAGAGACGACAACTGCCGAGGTCCCGGAATCCGGTGGAGTGTCGGAGGGGTTCCCCCAACCCCTCTTGCACGGGAAATTCCCCGCCCACCCCTCTACGAGTGCGCTGAGTCCTCAGACGCTTCACCAGCAAACCCGAAGCCCTGAGAGCTCAGGTTCCCCTCTCTCCAGTCCCCAGCCCAGCATACTTCCCTGACTCCTTGTCCTGACATGATCTTTGCGCCCTGGGTCGTCAGGTATCGTTGGGCCTCGCTCCGCTCTACTCTCTACACACCCACAAGACAAAAAATATGACGGTGTATCTTTCCATGTCCTAGTGCAAGGATTCATTTTCATTTTGCGTGTTTGGAGAGTAGTCGAGCGAGGCCCGTCGTTCCAGAGAATCCATCGAACGCCTCTTTCAGAGCCGTTCTCGTCCCGAGGAATTTCACAAATCTTACATCCTCAAATCCTCGAGGCCGAACGTCTCCGCATGTATTCGAACCGTACGTCCATCTTTGGGTCGCGAGTCCATCTTTGAGCCTTGAGGCCACTAGTCTCCGAATTATGAACATCGCATTCTCCTCCTCAGGGGACGTCCGAGCCTTTTCGTTGTGAATACGGTACGGAAGATGCCCGAGCTTTACGTTGCGCGTATCATTTTTTAGCTCCTGCCGCCCCGGGGGAAAACCTCCTGCCGGAGCTTTAAGTTGCGGTTGACCCTTTTCACTCCAGTCGGCAACCACTGCACCTCCGTGCACGAGACGTTCGCCATTGCATTTTAATTCTGGAATGCGGCATTCACGGCCTGAGGAGATGGCTGAGCCTTTACGTCACGAACAGCGTAGAGAGCGGCAGCTACTGACGTCGTGAGGGAGGGAGAGAGAACCTTGACGGTTCTCCCATGCCGCTGATCACTGCACCGCCTCCATGCACACAAGAAGCTCATGACCGAAACAACGAGACCCTTTTAAAAATCCCACTGAACCAGAAGAGGACCAAGATTTGAAAGAAACAATGAAGTCCAGCGGCAAAGATAAGCACTCGCCGGCATGCACACTGTAGTTTGCGGCAACAGGCTGCAAACTACACCTTGATGATGAGGAAAGCTGGCTCCTGGTGGAGTCTTACCTTTCCTTCCCCTTCCCCCCCCCACCACAACACCACCATCCCAACACCACCTTCCTCTCCCCCCCCTCCCCCTCCCAAAAAAAAAAAAGCGATCCATTCCCCAAATGCAGCTGCTGCAGGTGCAATGCTTAAAAAAAAAAAAAAAAATTGCATACGCGTTGAAACATTAGGTGACCACAGCCCCAGAGAGAGAGAGAGAGAGAGAGAGAGAGAGAGCAGCGAAAAGAAGAAGGAAAAAAAACACGTGTAGCTCCAGTGGACTCTCTCTTCCGATGAATGGAACCTACGCCTCACTTGTCACAAAAACATTGCTCTCAATCTCTCACCGCTTCCCCTTCCTCAGAAAATGTGGACGATGTCGTAAACCAAACTGCGCATACCAATGGGTTAAGGTTTTTAAGGAGAAAACCACTCACCCAGCCTTGTGGCTGAATGATTGTGGATATGAAGCCTTTGATAAACGGTTCACATGAGTTTGAATCCTGCTGAGCACAGTGATGTGATTTAGGGCGTGAAATCAACCCCCTTTAAAGGCGGAGGGGGCACGACAACCAGCACAGGCAAAGTCCAAGAGTCGAGACAACGACCAGGTTCATTGAACTTCATTCCACATTCCACATAATTATGTGCGTGAGAGGATTCCGAACCACAGATGATTAAAAAAAAAAACAAAAAAAAAAAACGGATCCTTAGTCACTCCAATGGTCTCCAAAAAATAGGTGGTCACCGATTTGAAATTTCCAACCAAACTCGATTAAAAAAGCGAAAATTAAAAAAAAAGCTAGGCTACCAGAGTGAACCGGGGTCACTTGCCTGGCCGGGCAAATAAAAATTACAAAAAATAAAAGAAAAAAACTATTTTTAAATTTCGTTTTTTATTCTAAATCTGGTGAAGAATTTCGATGTGACCCTAAGGCAAAAGTTGTTCAGTTTATTTTTCTGCGTAACATAGTTTTTTTCGGAGTTTTTGGATTTTTTTTTTTTTTTTTTTCCGGCTGGGACCTTCCCTGGTCCTTGAACGGGCTGGCCACTCAGGACCCGGGCGGCCCGGCTGGTAGCCTAGAAAAGAAGTGAATATTATCATAATAATTGAAAAACTGTTTTGAAATTTAAAATAGTTTTTTAATTTTCATTTTTTTAAGTTTTCTTTAAGGATTTTTAATTTTAAATCGAGCTTGCTTGGGAATTTCGGTATGACTCCCAGGCAAAAGATGTTTGTATTCTTGTTCTGCACAACATACCTTTTTTCTAGGAAATTTCAGGCCCGGCCGGGCAGCCGGCCGGGCATCCGGGCGTGACGCCCGGGGTACCCAGGCGTGCAAAAAAAAAAAAAAACAAAGTTTTTTTTTTTTTTTTTTTTTTTTTTTTTTTTTTCTGCGCTCTCCCAGAGGACTCTATATCCGGGCTCATTTCCTTTTTTGCGAGTTGGCTGTCAGGGGGGGGGGAGGGGGATATAAATTGTTTTTAAAGGGGCTGAAGGGGTCTAAGGGGGGGTACCTTTGTGTCATTCTGTTATTTTCTTTTTTATCTCCGATTCTGTGAGGAATTATAATGTGACCCTCAGCCAAAAGTCGTTTGTATTTCAATCCTACACAACATATTTTTTTCGGGAATTTTTTTACGTTTTTTTTTTTTTTTTTTTTTTTTTGAGCTGGGGCTGCCCGGAAACCTGCCCGGGGTTCATGCCCGGCCGGGCACCCGGGCGTGTACCCGGGCAGAAGTTGAGTGCCCGAGCGCCCGGGAAAACAGCCTAGCCTTTTTTCAGATTTTTTTTTTTTTCAACGTATGCATAGACGCGATTTTGGGTTCGTACGCGTACGCCGGAATACGTACACGTACAGGATGCAGAACATTTTACAATTCATTTTACAATTCATTTTATAAATTTATATAATCCACTGCATTAGGCCCAGAAATACAGAATCCATACTACTGGATGCAGAACGGAATCCGAGAGGAAATTACTTTTTTGAAGTCAATTTTGAAATTTCAGAAAAACGAAAGGATACGTCCAGAATAAGAAAAAGGACTGCAGACGCCACGTGTCATGAGAGGATAAAGAATGAAGGATTATCATCAGAAACAAAATGCACAACATCCGCAAACACCGTCAGCGCCATAATAACAACAACAGCAACAAAAACAACAACAAAAACAACAAAAACAATATGTTAGAAAGCGCAGGTAGACTCAGAAGAGCCTATCTCAGGGAATCCAGCTTGTTCAGGAAAAGGTTTTTTTTTTTTTTTTTTCCGGCAATAGCCATGGTGGGACCGTACCAAAAACTTTGGACCGTTTCTTGATTTATGTGTCATCCTTCTTGCACTGGGGTCATGCCCTTCTCAGTATGAAAAAGGTAAAATTCAAATTTTTTACACAGCTAGGCTACCAGAGTCGCCAGGGACCACCTGCCAAACAGGGCCAAATAATTAAAAAAAAAACAAGCAGGTGCAACCAGCGCAGCTTGCGCCCGCGAACGCCGTCAGGAAGCAAACCCAATGAAGAATCTCACTTCGCTCTTTCGGTCTCTGACTCTATGTTTTCTTTGTTCGTGTATGGCTGGTGCTTTCTGTATCACTGTTTTAGCTCTTGGCGTCTTCCGTCTTTCTAAGTGTTTGCGGAAAGCAGAATAGTAAACAGCAACGCTCACAAACAGCAAGGTCATACACAGTCACAAACAGAATAGTAAACAGCAACGAATCTTCAACGATTCGAAGAACATTATCATCATCACCGAAAAAGAGACGACTCTTTTATTTTTTCCTTTCTCATTTGTTTTTCCTGCTACACACACAGCGTCAGATCTCCCTGGAACTTCAGGAGCTCGGACCAATCTGACAATACATGCGGAAAGGAGTTACCACAACCCCCCCGCGCCCTTCGCACCTCCCCACCGAGCCAGCCAAGGCACCTACCCACCACCTCCCCACCGAGCCCACCGAAGCACCTACCCACCACCTCCCCACCAAGCCGGCTGAAGCACATACCCACCACCTCCCCACCGAGCGGCCGAAGCACCTCCCCACCGAACCGGCCGAAGCGCCTCCCCACCGAGACGGCCAAAGCACCTCCCCACCGAGCCGGCCGAAGCA